TTTTTTGTTTGTTTGTTTGTTTTTCAGTTGAAGAAGCATATATAGAGTAGGGAGAATTGTGGGGTGTAAAGAGAGAGCACTGGGGAGTGAATATTGAATAATTTCTCTCAGCCCGAAAGCCAAACCAAACCTGTTGCCATCAAGTCGATGCCAACTCATGGCAACCACATGTGTTTCAGAGTAAAACTGCGCTCCATAGGGTTTTCAATGGCTATAATCTTACAGAAGTAGATCACCAGGTCTTCTGTGGTGCTGCTGGGTGGATTCAAACCGCCAGCCATTTATTTAGTAGTCGAGTGCAAACCATCATAGGATAAGCTCCTAAAAATGTGGCAGGGAAGCAGTGTGTAAATGAAGGAATTCCTATTCTCGGGGCTAACTGGGCTTTTGGAGTTCTCCAAGTACAGTCCCTCCCAGTTTACAGAGAGGAAAGGGACTCAGCCAAGGACACACAGCCACCCAGTCAGTGAATCATGGAATGTTAGAGCCAGGAAAGGCCCTTGGGGACCACCCAGTTCCACTGTTCTTGCCCTTATCCCAGCCTCCACTTGTTGCATGTCCAGCACAGTCCATCAGCAACGCCTGTTTTTACACAGCATCTCCCAGCCAGGAGGGTGGAGAGTGGTGGGGATGGGGACATGTAGCCCCCTCTGAGGACAGATGAGAGATAGGAGACACCCATAAGGTTAGTGGATGACCATGGCTGTGAACCCCACTTGGTCCCACTAGCAAGTATTTTAGGCCTTCTCTACGCCCAGCAGAGCCCTAGTGGTGCAGTGGTTAAAAGCTCGGCTGCTAACCAAAAGTTCAGCAGTTCAAATCCACCAGCCGCTCCTTGGAAACCCTATGGGCCAGTTCTACTCTGTCCTGTAGGGTCGCAATGAGTCAGAATTGATGGCAACGGGTTTTTGGTCTATGCCCAGCAGTAGGGCAGGTGGGGGAAGATCCCTAAGGAGGGAAGGACTGGCCAAGCCAGAGTTTAAGGTATGCCTCTGGTTGCTGGTGGGCACAGGTTTTGAAAACTTCCCCAGAGCGGAAGGGAAGTCCCACACCCCCCAGCCTCTCCAGCCCCAGTTGGAAGCCTCATCCCTCAGTGAATTCCAGATCCACCCCGCTTGGGGGTTTCTCCACTGACAGGTGTAGCCTGGGCCCCAGGGAGGCAATTTCTTTCTACATTTAAGGGACCCACATGTCTGGCTGTGCCTGAAATCGTTGGAGGAGGTGGATCCGCCTTTGAGCAGCTATGGTTTGCCTGTAGCCCCTTATCTCTGGGGCACCATCTCAGTGCCTGAAGGTTTCTCCCGTCGCCTGTTCTGAAGCCCAGAGAGGGAAGGGACTTGCCCTAGGTCACACTGCACATCAGTCTCAAATTCTAGTGCATTCTCCTTGCCTTCTGCTCCACTGCCTTGTTTGATGTTGCAACCCCCCCCCCCCCTTCTAGAGGGCAGAGACCGTCTATTCAGTGCATCTCCTGGTCCTTAGTTTATGGCCTGGCAGTGAGTGAGTGTGGATACTTGTTTGCTGGTTGTGTAAATGAATGCATGGGAGCATCCTGCTGTTTTAATCCCAGCTCAGCTATCCCTCTGTGCCCCTGGGGCCAGCCCCCACTGACAGCTGGTGGTTGTTGTTAGGTGCCATCAGATCAATCCCAACTCACAGCGACCCTCTGTACAACAGAACGGAACACTGCCCAGTCCTGTGCCGTCTTCACAATCGTTGTTATGCTTGAGCCCATGGTTGGAGCCACTGTGTCAATCCATCTCCTTTTCAGTGACCCTCTACTTTACCAAGCATGATGTCCTTCTTCAGGGACTGGTCCCTCCTGATAACATGTCCAAAGTATGTGAGACAAAGTCTCGCCATCCTTGCTTCTAAGGAGCATTCTGAACCTCTTAATGCCCCAGCGTCTCAGGTGATAAAGCTGCCGGGACATGAGGACTCAGTGACATGTGGCTCTGCGGTGGTGCAGGAGCCCTGGTGGTGCAGTGGTTAAGAGTTCGGCTGCTAACTGAAAGGTTGGCATTTCAAATCCACCAGCCACTCCATGGGAGAAAGATGTGGCAGTCTGCTTCCATAAACATTTACAGCCTTGGAAACCAAATGGCCCTATAGGGTCACTATGAGTCAGAATTGACTCAACGACAGTGAGTTTGGTTTTTTTTAAAGGTTCAGTCGTATAAACAGCGGCTGGTGTCCTGGGAGCCAGGCATATGCTGGCATTGGGGATATGGAAGTGCCACACACAGATCTCTGCCCTAGAGGAGTAGGGTGGTAGGGAATAACAAGTGCACCGGTAGCTATGGCAACAGGGTGGTGTAAGGAGGCATCCTGGAGGTGTGTAAGACCTGAGCTGGGCTGTGACAAAGGCTGATCAGACTTGCGTCAGTCATCGCTCTGTCATTCACTCAACACATATGCTTGCCCCCTACATGTGTGCTGGGCACTACGCTCAGCAGTGAGTTCAGAGCCACTGTCCGCCTGCCAAGGTAGGTTAAGAGCCCCCTTTGTGCTCCCTGTGCCCCCCAGGGCTTCCCTTGGCACAGCCCCCACCTCCCTGCATCATGATTGCCTGGTTTGGGGTCTGCCTCCCACTCTGGTCTGTGAGCCCCCAAGGGCAGGGACCAGGTCTGTTTTGTTCTCTGCTTGTCCCCAGTGTTCAGCACTGGGCTGCCTGGCCCATGAGCATTTGTTCTGTTTTGTAGAGAGTTGACCCTAGGGAGATCAAGGTTCTACAAAGCCGCAGCATTCCCCCTTCCCGGCACCAAAGAGCCCCTGGATTTTGATCCCTTCCCCTCCTTCCCAGCCCCCATATTCTGCCAGAGTCTGGGGCTGGCCAAGTCATGGAAGCTGGGGGAGTGGTGGGAGGAGGAAGGTGAGACCACAGCAGGCCAGCTTAGCAGAGGGTGAGAAAGCCTCCCTGCTGCCTGGCCGCTGGGCACCACAGGAACAGTTCTGGCAGGAGCCACCCGCTGGGCTGAGATCACCATGGAGACCTGGCTTGGAGAGGGTCACTGGCAGTGGCTAAGGGCTCGAGGGGGCGGAGGCAGCAGGGATTTGTGCAGAGGCCCTTGGGGAAGCTGGGGGGCTAGGGTTTGGCACAATCGGCTTACCCAGTGATTTGGAGCAGCCCTTCCTAAATCTTCCTCTCAGTTGTTACCCCAATATACTATACACGTCACCCCAACAGAGCTCCCTCCTTAGCTTGGCAGCTGTTCTTCAGCCACAGTAAAGCCATCCTATAGATGAATGTCCCCTACCCCTACAGCAGGACCTGTCACCCCAGATACAACAGACCTGCCCCCTAATGGATACCCCTTTTGTCTCTGCAGCTGTTCCTATATGTCACCCCAAATGTGGAGAACTGACATCCATCCCAACAGAGTACCCCCTGCCCCAACAGCTGCTTTTCTACCAGTCACCCCAGTTGTAATACATCTGTCACCCTAACAGGCCCACCTCTTACCCCTGCAGTGATAGTCCATCTTCTCACCTGCAGGAGATCTGACAGCTTAACAAAGATGCAGCTCTTATCCTCCCTCTCATGCCTCTGTTTGCCCCCTGGTCTGATAATGCCTGGATTAGGGGCTGCTTAAACCACTGCAGGAGCCCACCTGGTTCCCCTGGCTTGGGGAAGTCCTGGCAAGTCCAGCCTCAGGACAAAAGTCCCCAAGACTGACTGCCCAGCAGACAGCAGCCGAGGCTGACTGGAATTTCAATGTGGCCCTGGTGGGAAGGGAAGCCAAGAAAAGAGTACAAGGGAGGAGAGGCTTTCTGTCCCGCCTGGTCCCTGCAGGTGTGAGGGAGGACAGATGGGCTTGCCGAGGAGGCTTGGAAGGCAGTTTTAGCACCCCCCACCCCCACCTCTGCTCCTTAATTCTAGTGGATGCCCACACCCTGAGAGTGGGAAGCCTAAATCTCAGGGCTCTGAGAGGAGGACAGAACTCTTGAAAAGGCCAGCCTAATGGCTGTCTTGGGAACGACCATGCCAAGCCTTGTCCCTCTGGGCACCTTCTTGCTCACCCCAGTGGAGCTGTGAATCCAGAGGGTCTAGCCAAGTTTGGGAGTCTGGATGGGGAAGTCAGGTCTCCAGGGCCCCACAAACAATTAGGAATGGCTAGGAAAAGGGGGTACTACAGACCTCAAGTGTCTGGTGATTGTAGGGACTGGGGACTTGGGAGTTTGTGAGTTTCAGGAAGGCAGCGTTCAGCCAAACACAGATGGCATTGTGTTGGGCAATTTCTTTATTCTTTCATTCAGACAGACTTCCTCATCAGCTCACCTCTCCAAGGAACAGAATGGCACCGGTGGGGGCTGGGAAGAAGGTTGGATTTAGAAGAAATTAAAGCAGCAGCTCACACCTGTGCTGTGCTGAGGCACTGTCTTTCCCATTGTGCCATTCCTCAGAAAAGCTTAGGTTGAGGGAGTCACTAAACTCATTGTTACATGAGGAAGCTGAGGCTTGGAGAGCCAGGGACTGGCCCAGGCCCCAGAACAATAATGACAAATAGTAATTAGTATCATTTATTATGCGTTTATTATGTGCCAGGCTTTACCTGCCTCAACCCACTGAATCCTCCCAACAAACCTATGGGATAGTTCAGTTATCTTCATTTTACATATGAGTAAGTTGAGGCTCACAGAGGTTCAATGACTTGCCCAAGGACATAGAGCTAGTAAGTGATGGTGCTGGCATTTTGAACTCAACCGTGTCTGACTCTAGAGACCAAGTTCTTAACAAATACCACTGCCTGGAACCCGCCGCCTTACCCAGGGCATCCTTCACTTCTTAGTGGTGTGGGGTGTAGACACACAGCTGTTTTACAGCTGGGGAAACTGAGCTCAGAGAGGGCCAGAAGCGTCCCAAAGTCACATGGGGGCCAGTTTGGAGTTTTCTGGGAGAAGGAGCAATGGGACCAACTCCTCCCAGAATCCTCCCTCTTCTCAGAGCTCAGTGTCTACCTTCCGCTAACCTCTGCCGCTTCTCTTGTGTTTCTTTGCAGCTTTCAGAAAACCAACATCAAGACCCCTCCCAGCGTCCACATCGTCCTCTGGCAGGAACACCTGCCCCTTTGCCTCCCACCCTGTCCCACCTGCACCCCCTGCAGCCCCATCTCCCCCACCCCACCCCTCCCTGCCCATCTCCTCCACGCAGAAGCCGAAGGTGAGCCCTTTCTGCACAAAACCAGCAATTGTAAATACTTTTTAAAAATGTACAAAACTTAAAAACAAAACACAGTTTTAGAAAAAGACAAAAAAAAAAGAGAGCGAGAGCGAGCGAGCGTGTGCAAGAGGTTGCGAGCGGGGCCCCAAGGTGTCCAGAGCCCCTGCAAGTATGCACTGAGAAATTTATCTACAGGTCGTTTGACAAAAATGAACAATATCCTATTTATTGTATATACTGTTTTATTATAAATCGTGGATTGTATATTGCATTCTGTAAACCTGCTGTGGTCCCGTGGTGTGCAAATTCGCATGGTGGGGGGGAGGGAGAAGAACCTCTTGCGGGAGCTTTTTTTTTTTTCTTTCTTATTTTTCACTCTTTTGGGTTTTCTCTTCTGTTGTTGTTGTTGTTTTCTGTTGGCAGGACACACCCAAAGATCCAAGTTTGTATTAAAAAGAAATGAAAAAAAGCAAAAAAAAAAAAAAAAAACACAAAACCTCGTGTCTTGTGAAAGGGGGCAAGTGAGAGTGGGTGGAATGGAAGGGACGTGACTGATGTTTGTCACCAGCCGCTGGGTCCCCGGAGGAGTTGAAATGTCTACATGTGCCCCCTACCTCTGAGTTTGCCCTCTGCCTGAGATTTAGGCCACCTTTGCATCTGGGTTCCCCCCATTCCACCCCAGGTCTCCCTTTCTGTAGGCCCTTCTTTATGTCCCCAGGTCTCCCATACCACTGGACCATACATCCTTTCCAAAGTGCTGGGATGCTTGCCTCTAGGACCCCTCTTCTGCCCCAAGTCCCAGGTGTCTTCTCCCTGAGGAACCACCATTATAGGCCAGATCTTGGGTCTCCTGCTTCTAGATTTCCCTTTCCATCTCAGGTCCTAGGTCTCTGCCTCTAATCCCTTCATTTGTCCCAGGTCTCCCTGGCCTTTGGGCCCCATAGTTCTACCCTGGTTCAAGGACATCTGTCTTTGAGACACTTGTTCGATCCTAAACCCAAGAACCCTTGTGGGACTCCCCTTTCCTACTAGAACTGAAGTATCTCCTATTTGTATGTCTCCACTCTGCCCCAGCTCCTGGATCTGCTCTGCCTCCAAGCCCCCTATTCTACCCTAATACCCACATCTGCTTATGCAGAACCCAGGGTGTGACCCAGGAAGTCACCCCAACTTTTCATTTTCTGCCCTGCTCTTTTCTTTCCACCTGAAACCCAAATGCTGGGTCTGTGTTTCCTCCCAGCTTTTGTGAACTTTGAAGAAAAGAAAACTCCTAATCCTGTGGCTATTTCTGGTGGGCCTGGAAGGCTGAGCTATTTTCCACTCTCTTACTTTGGTGAGCTCTTGGCTGCCCTCAACCCAAAGGTGCCCCCCTCAGGCTTTCTGGTCTTGAGGAAGCAGTTTTTCCCATAGACCCATTTTATGTTAAAGCTCTGCTGAAAGTGGCTTTTCTGTGTCCCTCCCTGCTAGAGCTCAGGAGGACACTAAGGATGCCTTCTCCTGGCCTGCTCTCCCTAACCCAATCCAGTAAGGCCCAGGCCTTGAGAGCCTCAGAGGAACCCTGAGGAACCTCCGAGGACACCCCTGTCTGAGAGAGGAGACAGAAGGAGTCAGACAGGAGCCGGTAGCAGTTCCCTAAAACTGCAGCCTCTGTGCTGGATGTAAAGGCTCAACCACAAGCCCCCTCCATCCTCAGAGATGACAACACTGTCCCTACCCTCCTTGGCTGGTGAGGGAGACACCATCAATACTGCACTCAAGCTGACAATCCAGTATGGTGCTGGAAGTGGGGGCAAGGAGCAGTTAAGACCCCATGAGGGGAGAGGAGGGAAACTTCTTAGAGGAGAAAGCCTTTAAAGAACAGAGGCTAGGGTTCCTCGCAGAAAAATGAGGGAGTTCCCAGAAGAGGAAGGAGCCCACGTGAAGGCCTGGAGGTGTGAGAGGGTGACCGGAAGTAGGTGCCACACATAGTTATCTGGGGGAGATACTGTGTGGGTGTTTAGGGAGAGAGAGGGCTTTGGCAAGGTCACTCGGGCAGGGTGGAGGTGGTTGGAGGGGGTGGCATAGGAGGAACCAATGGGAAGCCTGTGTTCAGCCCCAGAGACGCCTGCATGGAGAAAATGAGTTGTTCAGCGGCTGGTGGGGAGTCCAGGTGGGGTAGGCTGGGCTGGGTTCAGTAAGAGGGTGAGGCTCGGTGAGAGCTCTGAGGGGCCGTGGGGCAGGAGGATTATTCAGTGAAAAGGGATTGGGGCTCAACAATGAAATGGGGCTTGAGAGGGGGAGGAAAAGCATTGAAGGGTGTGGGCTCTGCCTTGGGGCTCAGGGAAGGGGGAGGGGTGTGGAGGGGAGACCCATGAAAGAAACGGGTTTAGGGAGGTGATTATAGTGCAGTGAGGGGGCATGGAGATTCATTAACTTGAAGGGGGCTTGTGGATTCACTTGCAGAGACAGGACTCCTGAAGAGGAACAAGAACCCAGAGAAAGGGGTTATGGTTTCTGAAATGAGAGGGAGGTTGGTGAGGAGAACAGAGGCTCCGTGGAGAGGTGAAGGGAAGTATCAGCTAGAGAATGGGAGCTCAGGGAGGGGCAGGGTCTCAGTCTGCGGTTCTGTGGCTTAGTAAAGTGTGGAGGGCTGAGGTGTCTTTTGGAAACCAGACTCAGGGGAGACTGCCCAGGGCCCAGGGCCCAGGGCCCAGGGCCCATCATTTTAGATGGAAGGTGCTCTGTGCCCTTAGGCCCTGGGGTCTCTGGGGAAAGGGACCCAGGTGAGTGGGACAGGATGGGGCTACCCCATCCTGGTCTGTTCTTTTTCAGAGGTTGGGGCACTACCACAGCCACAGTACCACACCTGATCCCAGAATGCATCATGGCTACATGGTTCCTGGATTTTTGGGTTTTGCCACCATTTATTAAATACCTCCCCAAGCTGTTTATTCCTCAAAACAGTCTTTGAGGTAGAGAAAGATATTTACCTCATTTACAGATAAAAAAGGAGCCCCAGTGGCACAATGGTTAAGCACTCAGCTGCTAACTGAAGGATCCCTCTGCAGTTTGAACCCACCAGCTGCTCCTCAGGAGAAAAGACCTAGCAATCTCCTCCCATAAAGATTACAGCGTAGGAAACCCTATGGGGCAGTTTTACTCTGTCATATAAGGTTGCCATGAGTTGGAATCGACTCGAAGGCACACAGCAACACAGATGAGAGGACATGTTCGGAGATGCGGAGTAAGTAACTTGTCCAAGATCACATGGTAAGTTGGCCCAGGGTCTGACTCCAAGCTCTTGCTTTTTCATAAAATTTAAAGGGAAAAAATTCTGCTTATAAAATTCATCCAAAAATTAATCCATTCTATAATAAAAAATCTCAAATGACAGAAATAATAGCAATTACTTATATAGCACTTACTATGTACCAGGCACTGTTCTAAACATTTTACATATATTATTAACTCATTTGGTCTCAACAATCCTGTGAGACTTTATTGTAACTATTATTACCCCCATTTTACAGATAGGAAATTGAAATGAAGACAGGTAATTTGCAAAGATTACTCAGTAGAAAGTGGTGACATCAGGGTTCAAACCCAAGTAATCTGGTTCTGGAGTCTGCTTCACTGTACTGTTATAAGTGAAAGGCCACTCCACCCCTGTCCCTGATAATAACCCGTGTCCACATTTTAGTCTATTCCTCTAGATCAGTGGTTCTCAACCTTACTGTAGACAGGAATCCCCTGGACAGTGTAGACACCTTTGAGTGTATAGTTCAAAAATACTGATGCCCAAATCCTCTCCTAAGAGATTCTGATTGTATTGGTTCGGGGTGGGGTCTGTACATTGGGATATTTTAAAGCTCCCCAGGTGCTTATAAAGTGCTGTGTTATAAAATTGAGAACCTCTAACCTAGCTATTGTGCTGGGTATTTGCACACACCTACATTTAAATGTGTTGTCCTGGGTGTGAGCATGATGCTTTCTGGTGTGTACACTGTGATATCCACTAGTGTTTTTCACTCTGAGTGGCTGTAAATTACTATGGGTGTTTTGAATATGATAGTGTTTCTTTTAGAGACCCTGTGTGAATTCATTCATTCGTTCAGAAAGTATTTCTTAAGCATCTATAAAGTTCCAAGCACTGTCCCAGGCACTTGGGGATACAACAGTCAACAGGACAGGCAGAGTCCCTGCCTTTGAGTGTATAGTCTGATGGACTTGACACATTTGGACATGTGTCTTTCCCTGTGAGTGGCAGGAGATTGGAAACTGTCCTGGGGGTTGCTGAAGGGCGAATGGCCAGCTGGGGAGCTTAGGAAGGTGAGAGACTTGCTGGTGTGGCTGTATGCCTGGCGGATCTTCTGGCCTTGTGTACAGTTGTGTTTGAGAAAGGGAGACCCAGGGCATGTTTCTGGGTTTGAATGAGTGTGGCTGACTGTGTGGTATGTGTGTAAAGGTGTGCATGATCTGGGCCTGTGAAAATGTGGATAACAGCGTATGGAGGATGGTTTAAGACGGGAGGGCTGTGTGCAAGGTAGGCACCAGCCCAGAAAGCACACACACACACACACATTTGGCACGTGCGTGCACACACACACACACAAAGCCAGTTGTGAGGAGGAGGTTGGGTTCTAGCCCCAGGGCCCCAGACTCCCAGGGTCAGGTGAACTCTGCTTTGGGTATGTGAGGGAGGCACAGTTGGGGCTGGAAACTCCAGAGTGGGAAGGAGGGAGGGAGGGAGGGAGGGAGGGATGGAGGGAAGCTGGGGAGCCACATCCTTGATCTCTGGTCTGTCTCAGCACTTCCGGACTTGGTGCTATGGGCCCTGTGTGTCTCTGAGTCTCCGGGTCTCTGCACCTCTGGGTCTCTCTCTCTCAAATGTCTGGATCTTGACATCTGTTTCTCACTTCTGGGTCTCAGGCTCTGAGGCTGATCACGTGATTCCGGGTGTCCACCTCTCCAGCCTCCTTTGCTCTCTGTGCCCCGCTCCTATCTCTCTGTCTCTGACTCCATGTTTGAGTCTGCCTCCGTGTCCTTCCCTGTCCTTGCCAGGTGGGGGGAGGGGGCCAGTGCTCAGGGAGCAGGTGTTGGCTCGCTCAGGCAGCAGGGAGTGAAGCCAAGGAGGGCATAGAGCCAGCAGCGCCTGGACATACAGCCACACTCCAGGACACACACTCTGGGCACTCCCAGGAAGGCACAGTGACGTGGGGACACAGACTCCTGAGGACATTTACAGGGACATACACACAGGCACACAATTCAACACACAGCCACACCCAGAAACACACAAGGACGGAGATGCCCTGCCAGACACCAAGGGATCACACACACACAGACGTACGCTCAGATCCACACACAAATTCTCATCAGGCACACACAGTCACAGACACACCCAGGGAGTTTATCCAGAGGAAAACCCAGGGCCACGGACACACATACTCAGGACACAAACACACCTTCAGGCACTAGCAGACACAGTCACACACTCGAATCTAGATATACAAAAGCT